TGGAATTTAACTGTTTATTTGGGCGAACCTGTGCCCGGTAAACAGAAAGTCCAATTACAGCAGCAGTCTCGCACAGATAGCAGTCTCAAACTGATAGCGGCGAACGGAGCGTCGGCCTTCGATCAACAACTGACAAGTGGCGAAGCGCGTCGGCATTTATACTCCCGCCGTCGAATGTTCTAGTGCTATCGCTGGCGGCGGCGTGCGTTCCAGAACAATCTGTACCATTCGCACAGTGGGCGTGATCTTATCGAAATGATCTACTACAGTCCGGAACCCTCTAGAAAACTGCAGGAATTGATGATATGTGAAGCACGAATGAGAAATGTTGATATGTCCCTTGAAAATCAGCAAAAAGTTACAAAATGAAAGTAAATGACGCCGTACATGAATTCCGCGTCATTATTATCATGTTTGCATATTGCGTTTATTTTCTTCATCTATTTACGTCACGTAATACCAAATTTAGTATATACGGAGCTAGCCAAACGACCGCGAGCACGCTATGAGCGGAGTATGTTGTCATGTTCTTACACGACACACATGTCAGGATTATCATGTTTGCACCAGTCCTTCATCATATACCTTCGTCATTCATTGACGTCACGTAACACCACACTTGGTATATGTGGAGCTAGCAAAACGGCCACGAGCGCATCATGAAGAACCCAATACACTCCTATGTAGCGTTGACGCGCGTGGACGCTGGGCACAGCGACGCTACGTTAGCAAAACGCAAGCACTCTATAGCCTGACGCCAGGCGCGACTAGCGTCCGTCGGCGCAGCCCGACGGCAACCGATGCGAAATGCGACATGCTGAATTTCGCACTGATGCGTTATTCAGACAACACTGCGTCTCTCTCTTTTCGTGACGGAGGGACGCCAGAAGCGCGAAAACGCGCATGCGTCAAAGCAACGCAGCGCGGTGCGCATCTGCGAGTATATGGCAGCACCGGCGCCAGGCCCGGCAACGCCGGTGTAACGCGACGACTTGAACGCCGGCGAGCACGCTTACTGGATCATGTCGAAACGTATTGACACCTTGACTGTGGCATGTAGTCATGTTCTCACATGACTCGCATCTCATGGTTATCATGTTCGCACTAACCAACCTACCTTCGTCATCTATTATTGTCACGTAATACCAAATTTGACATATACGAAGCTAGTGAAACGGTGGTAAGTGCATCATCAGTGTGGCATTTAGTCATGTTGTTACATGACACACTCGTCCTGATTATGTTTAGATGTGTCATTTACCTATGTCGTCCATTCGCGTCACGTAACACCGAGTTTGGTACATATGAAGCTAGTGAAACGGCAGCGAGCACATCATCAGCATAGCATGTAGTCATGTTGTTACATAACATACATCTCATGATTATTATATTTGCACCAGTATCATACCTTCGTCATCCATCCACGTCTTGTAATACCAAATTTGGTATAAGTGAACCAATTGCGAAACGGCCGCCAGCATATCATGAGCGTGGCATGTAGTCATGTTGTTCCATGACACGAATCTCTTGATTATCATGTTTGCACCAGTCACATACTTTTAGTAATCCATTCACGTACAGTAATACAAATTTGGTAAATAACACGCTAGCGAAACGGCCGCGGGTGTGTTATGAACGTGGCATGTAGTCATGTTGTTGCATGACACGCATGCCATGATTTTTATGTTAGCGACTGTCACTTGTGTTCGCCATGCGATCATGTCATACCATACCAGTTTTGCAACATGCCATCTAAACGAAACCACCCCAAGAGCTGCAGGACCATGAAATGTAAATCATGTTATACATGACATGATTTCCATGTTATGACTAGTCAAATATGTTCTTCATACAGTCATGTTATGCCATACTATGTTTGGTATGGATGCCCTTATCGAAACAGCCACGAGAGCTAGAATTCGTAAGCGGATAGATAGATAGATAGATAGATAGATAGATAGATAGATAGATAGATAGATAGATAGATAGATAGATAGATAGATAGATAGATAGATAGATACGCTCAAAGTCACCGAAGTTCACTAAGAAATGCTTCGCATTTAAAAACGAGCCTGCTCTGGCTGGCTCTGGCAGCCCGCGGGTAGCCAGAAGTGGAAAATTGAAGAGCCCCACTGATGAGCTAAGAGCAGCGAACGCATGAAAGTCGTCCCTCAGGGCTGTTTGCATCCTTCGTAAGGCCCTTTGGGCACGCCTGACTGACAGACGGATTAGGAAGAGTTGTTGACCGTCGTCGAGGCTGCTTGCTTTGTCGGCAAGGTGCCCTGGGTGATGAGCCAAGCGTCTGTAAACCATCTGCGGGTGCATTTCCCACGTTCTCCGTGCTGCTCTAATGCCACCAGTTGCACAAACCGCGGTCGTACCGGCGCACCAACTCATCACTGCAATGGACTACGGAGTTGATCTTCATGTAGGACGCAACGTCTTCATGCAGTGCTTTGTCGTGCGCAGTGTGCAGTGTTTTCTCTCTCTCCATGGGACGAACTGGTTGTGCCTCTTTCGTATTTCCTGGGTCGGAAAAGAGGTGGCGTTTTACATTCTCCTTTAGGAGGCGGACGTGAAGATGGCAATTTTTAATAAATTGTCCTGGCTTCCATTACTTCTTGCTGCGGAGAATCGTGGAAAGGCCGGGACATAAAACTTCAGCGCTCAGACACTCCCGACAAGCTCCAGAAGCTCTTATCAAACTTCCACCAAGAGCTTACATGATGCTACCACTATCAGGCAGCAATGCTGCCATCAAAATGTAAATACTGTGATTGAATGAAGGAAAATCGAGAAGAAAAAGAACGCAAGGAAGGTTAACCAGCCTACAGGCAGCCGGTTTGCTCACCTGCGCATGGGAGGGGGATGGGGGATTATAAAGATAGAGAGAAGAGAGGGAAGAGAGATAAACACAGCACAATCAGCAGCACACGCGCGCACACTCAGTCATAGTCCAGTTTTTCGCGGTGCGTGACATTGCTGTTATGGCCGCTTGTTCAAGTCCGTGTCGTGTAGGAATTTCAACGGAGCTTTTGTCGCCTTTTGTTGCATTGTCGTTTCTTGGGCACTTGACAGAATAGTGTCCATGCACGCAAGAACGGACGCCAGTGACTGTCTCTGGAAGTCGTACAATGGACAATCGCACAGGACGTGGTGTAGGGTCTCTCCGCAATGACAGGCATCACAGAGAGCGTTTTCGGCCATTCCTATGACAAACGAATAAGATTTTGTAAATGCCGCTCCTAGCCATAAGTGATGAAGATGTGTGACTTCTCTTCGGTCGAGCCCAGTGGGCATGCGGAGAGTTATTAAAGAGGACAGGTGGTGTTGCCGATTTGTCTCGTTGCTTGGTGGGCACCACGGGGAAAACGTCGTTTCACGCGCAAGTCGTCGAAGGTTACTGGCTGCATCGGTTCGCGAAAGTGGTATGGCTTCTTATCGTGTTCTTTCAAGAGCTGCCCGCGCGGCAGTATCAGCATGTTCGTTCCCTATGACGCCGCAGTGACTTGGCAGCCCCTGAAATGTGATTTGATGCCTTTTCTAGTGTGAAATGTGGAGAAGGCATTGAATTTAGAAAACAAGCTGTTCGTACGCCCCGCGACGCAGTGCTGAGAGCACAGATTGAAGGGTAGCCCTTGAGTCGCTGAAAATCTACCATTGTTGCAGTGGTTTGGACAACACAAAGTGCAGCGTGAAAAGCAGCTAGTTCTGCTGCTGTAGATGCCGTGGAGGGGTCAGTTCTATGATTGAAAGTTACTGTTAACCACTCCAGGCTCCCCTTTTCGACATCTCCGTAAGACTTTCTCTGGCTCCGGTTTTCTCGGCAGACAACCGACTACGTCAGGACACTATAGTGAAATAACAATTTACCTCCGATTGAAGCTCAATGTATGACAACATCTAAAATGACAATATTATCAGCAGCAATATCCTACTTATCGAAAATTTAGGCCAAATGCACACTATTACATGCGCCGCAGTAGGTCTTTCTCAACATTATCCCAATGACACAAGACGAACAGCGCACAATTAATCCCTGGTAGTCGGTCTAGCTGCACAAAATAAAGAATCTTCTGTGCATCAAGGACAAAATAAAAAGATCCTTCTTCGTTTTTGTATGATTCATAGAAAAAAGAATCTCCGAAAGTTACTATGGCAAATGGCACCACTGGTTTAAAAAATCAGAGTAGCTGGGGGTGTGACAACAGCGCTTATCTTGGTGTGCTCCGCTTCGACTCTGCCAGTTATACCGGCGTGTAAGCCTCAAAACTTGACGCGTATATTTCTGCTTGACTTGCTGCCCCATGACACGATGATCAGAACTATCGAATATGAAATTTTCAGGCAAGCTTAGAACAATGAACTTTATTATGTGCCCTGCGTTTAGGTTGGAGAGGCCCTCAGCTTCGGAGTAACGGTTTCTTGCCCTTGGTGGCCAACCCGGTTGCTGGGAAGCCCATTGCTGGAGTTACAAATGAAAGCTGATCAATAGAATTTGAATATTTAAAGCTGACTAGCAGGTGCCCACATTCTGTTACGTGGGTGTGATTTTATTTCTAAACTGTTGTATCACAGCCGTCATCGCCTACAATTAACACACTGCCTCAAATTTATCAGCGCAACCCATGTAACTGTATATTCTTAGGGGCATAAATAACAGCGAGATAAATACAATCTTGAGTCGGAATGACTATTTTTTTCGCGTTGACACAGGCTTTCAGATTCCTGTTCACAAACTGCAGTTTTCTCCTACCTGTGTTTCTCTCGCCAAGTATGTCATGTACTTTTAGTACAGCAGAAGTCCAATGTTCACTTTGAAATGTGACAGGGTAATATTGTGCATCACGCATAATAGTGGAATGTGTGTTTAACTGCTTCAGCTTCTTTTATGAGTGCTATCTTAGTAGCACTTTTGAGTGCTTTTTGAGTGCTACTTTTCATTGCTACTTTTGAGTGCTACTGTTAACCTAAATAAACACAATCGATTCTGTTTTTAGTTCCCCGCTTCACAGAATACTCTTTACCTTGTGGGTTACTCCAGGCCTCTCAACAAGTCAGAGTACTCATGTGTAGCGTCTAAATACGATACAATTGGGGGAGGATTTATCCACCGCACTTTGCTTCTGAAAAGGGCACCGGTAAGTAGCGCTATAGAACCTTCCAAGTACTAAATGCTGATTGTGAGCATCTATTTCACGAGAAACAGAGAGTAGCTGATGATGCAGGATCTTTTTTTCTCTTCTTAGCAAATAATTAACAGCAGCATATTGCTCGCACATTGAAGGCTTGCCAGGCTCATCAAGTTGAGTGGCGTCAGTAGTGTAGCTCACGACAAGACTGAGATTGGTGCACACATTAGAGAACACAGGCAATCTGAACCGTACTGTGCGATAAGGTATGCATCATGTGTGTCAGTCATAAACGTATTTCTCTGGGAGTCGACCAGCGTGATGAGAATACATATAAAACGTTTTTTTTTTTCATTCTTTTCAAAGTGGCTAGCCAGTACTGGAACTACACCTACTTGTTCCCCCGAGGTGACAGTTGCATAGATTTTCTTCCAGCAGCAGTTTCTCGCACTGGTGCAGGTTTCTGGTAGTACGGATGACTTCCACGGACATTGCCTTGGTTTGAATATAGAAGCAACCTTAATTTCTAATCTGTGTGTTGATAAATATTTTCTGTAACATGGGCTGGTTCACACTTTTGTGTGAACCTATCGAACAGAGGAGCTGTTTTCGTAGTGTCCAATGCATGGACGTGTTTAATTCGCCAGAGTGCGTTCAGTTACGGAAAATAGACAGTCAGTAGTGTCATGACAGCACGCTTGACCAAGTCAGCATAACGAACAAACTAGCATAGCAAACTTCGCAAATCAGAACGTGCGTATGAAGGTGTTATAAAGTTAGTACAATCTACACAAAATTACTCGGAAAGGAGAAACGGAGCCCAATGGGCGCGCGCGATGAACGCATACACCGTCGAGGAGTAACCACAGAGCATGCCTGCCGCGTGCAGCATGCATGCAGATTAACCACCCGGGAGATGCGGGCCACGCGAAAAGTGTTGTTAAGGGCACTAGCCATCCTCCTTGAATTATATGTGGAGTTTAACGTCCCAAAACCATCATATCATTAAGAGAAACGCCATAGTGGAGGGCTCCAAAACTTTAGGCCACCTGGTGTTTTTTAACGTGCACCGAAATCGGAGCACACGGGCCTACAATATTTACGCCTCCATCGGAAATGCACCCGCCGCAGCCGAGATTCGATCCCGCGGTTTGCAGGTCAACAGCCGAGTACCTTCCTTCTCTATCCTGGCTCAGTCTTCCCCTAAACTTGGCTGGTGATGGTGGGCGACAATCTAGGAATAGACGTCAGACAATGAATGAATGGATGGATGGATGGATGGATGGATGGATGGATGGATGGATGGATGGATGGATGGATGGATGGATGGATGGATGGATGGATGGATGGATGGATGGATGGATGGATGGATGGATGGATGGACGGACGGACGGACGGACGGATGGACGGACGGACGGGCGCACGGACCTTGATTGTAGCTTTTAATCAGTTATTCTCGTCATGGTTATTTCTACCCATTTAAAGTCTATGTTGCCTTCACCGTTCCTAAACACCAATGCTTTTAAAACTTTGGCACCATTATCTTCGACGATAGCATGGAGACATTTACTGAACATTAACAAATGTTCAGCCATGTCCTCCTCCTCTTCACACGCACTACATACTGTGTCTGTGCCTTCGTAATTATCTCGGCACGTCCCGGTCTGATATACTCCCGTTCTAGCCTCGAGGAGCAGAGAAATACCCCAATAATCACCGTAGGTCTTCTCCCTTAGAATGCCCTGCTTAAACGTTTCGTAGGTTTCCAGTGATGATTTTGTAAGCATTCCCATCTTCTATATGTCCCTTCTTCGCCTTCGTCTTAACAGGTGTTTCCTTTTGCCTTCGTAGTCTGCTGTTGTCTAAATACTTGCTTCACAGTTTTAGAGTTGACTTCCTTCATTTACTATCAACATTCTTGATGTACAAGTAGCTGAAAACTTTCCTAGCCAAACGCTCCTCTCCCATTTGTCTCAATGACTCCCGAAATTCTATCTAGCTGCGAGCTTCTCTGCACTGAAACAATGTCCATCCTATGTCCCCCAGTAACCCCTCGTTTGCGGTAATCTCGTGTGCTCCCAAGGCCAGTCTACGTATGACACGTTCATTGATTTCCAATCTTGCTTGAACTTCTGATTTCATGCACAAGACCGCATTGCCGAACGTCATGCCTGGGCCTATGACACCTTTCCGAATCCCTCTCACAACGTCATACTAATTGTAGTTCCACAGTGCCCTATTTTTTATTACAGCTGCATTCCTAATGCTCTTAGTCATTACGTATCTTTCGTGCTTCCTTAGACACTCAGCACCGTTACTTATCCATGTGCCCAAATATTTGTATTTATCCACTCTTTCTAGCGTGACTTCCTGTATGTTATGCTCACCATCATTCCCTATTGAAAATCCTGGGTTGGTGGATGCTGGAATCATTGGTAGATGTGGTGGAAAGAATAGTGGATATGGTGGAAACTGTAGTGGCCATAATGGCTGATGACGGCGAGAGTGGAAAAACTGGTGGCAGATCATGGTGTTGGTGGCGAGCCAAAGGTGGTGACGGTAGAAAATGGCAGCTAATGACGGCTAGAGTGGAAAAAAAGGTGGCAGATGGTGGTGGTGTTGGCGAGCCAATAATGGTGACGGTGGAAAATCCCAGCTCATGGTGGAAGCTTGGTGGATGCCGGTGGCTTGATGAAAAGCACATGACAGTATGTGAATTACTTATTTGTAGTGTTTCATTCTTGAATGCGCAGAGATATATGTTTACGGTCAAAAGTAGCCAACGCTGCTCATTATGCTTTCCAGCGCGTTTGTTTTTTATTATTCCTGTGGTGTCAACAACGCTTCAATGTTTGTGGAGCATAGAATATGCGGCCGGGAATATGTTTACCTTTCGCGCACGTATTTACATCAGTTTGACATCCGCGATGTGTTCCTTTGTTGTGATGTGTTGAAGACTAGAGTTGTCACTGTGTACATGGCAATAAATGTTTTACATCGGTGCGCAGTTGTCGACATATAAATGAGCTCCAGTTCGTAATTACCCCTTTCATTGTTAGAGCAGAACACAGCGGCCACTTGATGTCGCCACACTATAAACGCAACTCTGGTAATTATTGCACACTCTATTGTTTCAGCCGTACCTTTAAGTCAACAAAGTGTGTGCAAATATGCATAAACTTTCACTTTCGATATGCGCCCACATGAGCCCCAGCGAATTCGAATTTCACCCTTCTGTTCTACCACCATGACTTCCACCAAAGGTTAGTCATACCGACCGAGCCCGTACAAGTGTAATCGGCGCTTCTGGGCTTCAGAATACACACTTTTGACGAGTAAAAACGACAATACAGCACAGCTGCGGCCTTATTTATCCTAAGTGAATGCCGTTTTTATTGTGTACGGTGTCCGCGCAAGAAGCGATAAACATCGATGCGACGTGCTTGTAACACTTCCACCAAAGGTACGCCTACCCTCACCGACAGCTGCCAGTCGCACTCGCCGGCATTTCGCTGGCTTTTATGCGAGAACAAAGACACGTCGATTCGTATGCTTACTGAACTAATATGATAGCATAATGTTTCTGGCGCACTGCATTCGTTTTACACAAGCCGTTATGTAGGTGTTTCTAACGACAGAGCAACAGCGGTGCGCTGGCACGACTGTCGTGTGCGTCCGAAAAACATCAAAATTGATTGTGTGGGCGTATCTATCGAATGAGCATAGAAGCGTCATAAAACCTGCACTGATATCACCCTTTGGAAGGAGCGAGAAACGGATAGTAAACTCTGCAGAACCACCGATAAACTCTGCCTGCTCCTCAGTCCACTGAGTTGTTTTTTTCCTCGTGGTTAAAAATTTGTAACAAAAACATAGCGATGTTGCCATTATCGTAGTGGCAATTGTTACAGGCAGCAGTTGTTCGTGGTTAATAAATATGCAAATTTTAGTAGCAGGTGTAGATTCCGTCCCTACCGAGTAAACGACAAAAAAACTGAAGTTAAACAGTGACTTCGTGAGTTGACTACTTCTTTAACACCCATGTCGCCATCTGTCGGCGTGGCGCAGTGGTTAGTGTGTTCAGTTCGGAATTCGGTGGTGGCTGGTTCACTTAGGTTGCTTGCTACGTTCTTTTTATACAATCATTTTTATTATTCTTTAGTGGCAGCTCGCCACGGTGGTTCTGACGCTGCTTCGCGCTCTAGCATGGCCGGCTGGAGCGCGCCATCCACCATCCGCTCCACCATACGCCACCTACACCATATGCCACCAACATTTTCACCTCCATAATCCACTAAAATGGTGGAATCAACCATTCCTACGGTGAAAGTTTTTTTTCTATAGGGTTGTTATAATTAAAAATCATGACCTGCGATTTTACCCTGCTGAACTTCAAATTTAATCTATCTGCCTCATTACCACAGATGTCTATCAATCCCTGCAGAACTTCCTTGTTGTCGGCAATAATACTATCTCGTCTGCCTATATCAATGATGGTAATGACTGTTCAATGTATTTTCCTTGGCTGGTAAAATAGAGGCTGAAGCCGAGTCAACTCTCCTTTATTCCCTGGAGATACAGCATAAATAACAAAGTTGACAAGGGACATCCTTGTCGAAACCCGCGTTGTATCTCTATAGGTTCAAATACCTATTCATCCCATTTCATAACTACCTTGCTACTTTTATAGATATCCACTAGAATATTAGTTATTTCATCTTCCACATCTAGTGTGTCTAGTATTTTCCACAAGTATTCTTGAACCACACTATCGTAAGCTCCATGATATCTATCAATGCCAGCCACAGGGGCCTGTGTTATTTTTCCGCTATTTCAATACACTGCATCAATGAAAGCAGATCGTCCTCCAACCTCCTTCGTTTAAAAAACCTATTTTGTAGTTCCCCCAGCCCCCCCCCCCCTCTCATTTTCCGCCCCTGTTTGTAGTCTTTCCTCTACTATCTGCATCACGAGCCTGAAAACTGCTGATGTCACTGTTATAAGACGGT